GAGCCATGAATATCGTGAAAACAATTCAGTTCTTAACTTATTCCTACTGCGATATTGAATATTTACCGTAGTTTTTAAATAAATGTCGCGGTCCATCTTAGGAAAACTGTTTTTTCGAATTTCGATTTGAAACTTTGTACAGAGACAGTCCTTAACGAGAATAGTTTTACATCTTGTTATTGTTTCTATTGCCAGACATAGCTATGATAAAAGCGTGTCTTTTACATCACTTATATATAACGAAAGATTCGATGTGTTCTTCTTTCAGGATAGAAGCGAATCGAAAGTTTTGGAATTTTAACAATACACTACTCTTTTTAAGGTTTGTCTCTCTGCAAAGTTTCTACGCGTTCCTAAGAAAGATTACGGTATTTATTTAAAACCTACTGTGAATTTGCAGTATCTATGTACTAATAAACTAAGAGTCCGAACTCTTTTCATTATATTCAACATTCATTTGAGTCTACACAATGCACATAGTCCTAACTAAAAAATGATCTAAACAGTTGAGAATAATTTTTATTTTTGTTTACTTTGTTGTTGTGATGGTTTTTCCGATAGAACGATATCTTCGGTATTTATTGAATTTATTTGTTCTTTAGAATTTGAATTTATTTCAATTTCAGATGTTTGCATTTGATTTGCTTGTGATGTAAGCTTATCAAATGTATGTTGTCCATCATAATTTGATAAATCAATATGATGCTTTCGTTTTGCATGTCGTAATAAATGTCCAAGACGATGATATGTTGAACTACATATTGGACATGTTAAAATAGTTTTAGGTGACATTGTTGTTGGATTTGATGATGAATCTCGTTCATCATCTTCATCTTCATCATCATCATCATCATCCTCATCATCCTCATCATCATATTCATTATCATCATCTGTTTCTAAATTATTATCAGCACCATTAATAAATATATTTGTTGGCGTTGATGGTGATACTGTTCGTTTAACTCGTTTAATTCCGGATGAATGTTCTAACAAGAAGAAAAACAAAATAAGTTTGTTTTCTTAGGTATTTTTGATGAAAGACTACGTCAATACGTATGATTTCAAAGAAAATAAAAAAAAAACTTCTCAAAAATGTCTCTGCTAACATAAAAATAAATATACTATGAATAATACAATACTAATTCTTCTAGAATATTATTCTTCGTATATAATAATGAAATCAAATACATTTGAAAAAAAAAAGGTAGATAGATAAAATCTTGTTGTTTTGTGATAATCATTGATTTATCAAGGAAAGTTTTTGATAAAACTTTATTCAAGGATTTCCTATGATTTTATTATCCGTTGAAAAATCGTTTCATAATAAAAATGACAATAATACGAAATTAATTGATCTCATTTATAAATTCGATCATTATCAAAGCTATTCGAATTCACCTTCACTATATAATACATTAGAAAGAAGCTATCATGAAGAAAAAAAAAAGCTTTTCTTTTTTTTTGCTATCGAATACCTGTTGTCGATTTAATACCATTCAATGAAGATTGAGACTAGATAAATATAGATATTATTCAAACGATGAAAAAATGAACGAAATGAAAGCATTTAAGTTACCTGTTCATCATCAGGCGCCTCGCGTTTACTGGCCTTGTTGATAATGTTCGATGATGGTGAAGATTGTGTTAGTAGTAGTGGTGCATCTTGACATCCATGCCCGTGTGCACCTAAAGATATATGCATAAAACAGACCAAGGTGACAATAAATTTTGTTCATACTCGTTAAATGATTTTCAAGTGCTTCTAGATTGTCCGAATTGAATGGACAATAGATGCAGATATAAGCTGTGGAATCATCGTTAGTCATCACCGGTGCTTGAATATAACGGAAAAAAAAAAGAAAAATGTATAAAATAAAAATGAATATAAGCTATATGGATCAATAGCGATTCATTCAAATGATACATATTTATAGTTATGTGCACATGTCAACTTTGATTGATCATCATTTGATGTATATTCGTTTACGATCTATTCTTTGATAAATATTTCGTTTGATTTCTCTTCATCGTCTTTTTCTTTTTCTTTCTTCAATAACAACAACATCATTTTTTGTTATATACAGGTGTATTTTATACATAAAAGAGCTTGGCCAGCTTATTACAGAGAAAGAAATACAAATCATATATACATATATGTATATATATATATTAAAGTTAAGTTTTTCATTGTCAATTGATCAATAACGAATTGTCATCATACATTTCGTCGGAAAAAAATAAGTGACATCAATACAGAAATGTGATCCTACTACGATTGTTTTTAATTAGCACGTTACTTCTGGTTACGTTTGATGGTTTACTTTTCTTTTCTTACCTTATTTATAAAGGATAATAATTGTGACAATATTACTAACATCAAATCGATAGGAAAAAAAGAAACTGTAATCACTAAAATCTAAAACTAGAAAGAAGATAAAAAAACAATGAAAGTAAAATCTATTGTCATCATTCTCGAAATAAATGTGTACAGGTATAAGTAAAACTCAATATGAAATGATGATTAGATACCAATAGTCATGTTTGATTTAACGAAAGCTTCATAAGATTTGTGATAAATGTCTATATGGACGTGTATTCAATGTTGATGGGCACGTATAGATAAGACAAAAAAAAAAAAAAGAAAAAAACATCTTTTTTTACATCTTCGTTTTCTCGTATCCTGTAACAAGAAAGAAAAACGACGTAAGGCGCAACATTCTTCTCTTCTTCTTCATTATACACATTCAATACTCAATTTCTTTGCGTCTTTCGTTCTCTCTCTCTGTCTCTGTCTCTGTCTCTGTCTCTGTCTCTCTTTCTCTGTTCGTCTTCTTTCGACGTGCACATACATCTACATGTAGTATTGGTGTGATTATAGAACATGTCAGGCAGAGAAGAGAGAAGAAGAAGAAGAAGGGATGCGCGCGCCTATAGCACATATGATGCGCTTGTGCACACGCAGTTTTTTGAAAAACGAAGAAGAGAGACAGAGAGAGAGAGACGAGCGCATCGAAGGCGAAAGACGAAGGCCAAAGACGTGTGTGTACATACGTACATCATCGCCCACTTCCCATCGTGATCTTCCAATCATCATCTTCTTTTCTCATCACACATATAAAGCAATTTCAAGAGAAAAAGGTGTGATATAAAATGCAGCATTTTTTTTGTCATCTATTACGCAGACAATAACCGAAGAAGACACGATCAGTAAAAGAAATCGATTTCTCACATATATACATACATTTACTGACAAAGTAATGGGTTCGACTTTCACCTGTATATAAATATATGTATATACAAATATTCGTACACATGCCGTCACCATTACTCTTTTATATGTGGAAAAAAGTAAATTGACCATAAAAATGAATATTAAATTTAAGAAAATAATGAGAGCTTTTCCATTTCTGAAGGAAAAAAGAACTTACGACGAAAATTAGTTTTTTTTTTTCTTCTTCGTCTTCTTCTTTTTAATATTTCAATATTAATAAGTAGTGTAATAATATTAAATGATCAAAATGTAACAAAAGAGAACTTTCAACTGGGTTTCTATATTTAAAGAAGAGAATTACTTACGAGAATAAGATATTACATCAATTTTCGTTTATCAAACTATTCAACAAAATCGTATATTTATTTCGTCTTCTATCTATCTCAAGTAATATGTGAAACTGAGAGAGAGACAGAGAGAGAAAGCAAGAAAAAAAAGAAAGGGTTTAGATTTTTAGTCTTTTTTTCTCTTTTAAATTCAAATATATAATCGGTAGCGATAGTAGTAAGTCACTCTAGGCAAAGAAGAAAGAAGAGAAGGATAAAAGATTTTTACATGACGAGAATATGCGCAGATGTACTTCATTTGAAAAGGGAGTATATAGATATATACTGAGGAGATTTAGTGGTTCTATGTTCGAAGGCAAAGTGGGGGATCGAAGCACAGATGGTTCGAGAATGGAAAATGTGAAATGAAAAAAAAATCGGGGAAAGAGAAAAGAAAATGAAGAAGAAAAGAGAAATACGAGACTGATTTTAGTAAGTATATGGCTGCAGATGGTAGTAGAAGAATTCGTACGTTCTGCTCGTTCGATAATAGAGAGATTCTTGACGGCAGTATTTCTGCCTTCTTATTTTTTATATTTTGTCTGTATATGTGTATGTCTTTTTCTCTATGTCTGTATTTATTAAAAAATGCTAACGAAAAGAATCAACGCGAATAAGTATAAGAATAGTTTTCTTTATATACCATACTCAGCATCTTTGTTCTCTACTAGTCACAAGAAACTATGTAGATATAAAATAACTCAAAAAGAATAGATAGATTTCTGATAAAATCATCTCGGTCAAAGACTTCTTCGTTTTTCTTTTTTTTTTTTTGCTTTTTAACATTACGATGTATTACTATACATTCGATAGGCTTTATCTCGGCTGACGAATATGAATATCAACATCAACCATTTACGTATATGCATATAAATATATGAAAAAAAAAAGAGAAAAAAAAATGCAATATACGAACGCGAAAGTGGATGCATGGATGATTGACTGAGAAGAATTATAATGATTTACTTAAGATTTTACTCCACCTATCGCAATACTTCTATGGATGAAGGAAGAGGGCAAAAGTACTTACTATCGAAGAGAAGAAACGCGAGAGTTTTATGCTCTGTCGATTCACAAAGAGCATATGCGTATGTGGCCAAGCAAAAAAAAAAAGAAGCAGGCGATGACTAGGGATTAAGTTCATATGCACACAAGTGAATTTTTATATAATGCTAGTTCTCCTTCTTTTCTTTTTTTTTCCTCTTCTGCATATGTATAATACTCATCGAGCGTCAAAAATATTGTACAAAATGTTATGAAGAGATGATGAATATTGTAAAAGCAACTAAAAGAGTTTATCGATATATAACGGTGTTAAAAGCGCAAGACACTATTCTCGAATTATATATATATATATATATATATATATATATATATATGCATATTTGCTTATTTTTTTTCTTTTTCTTTCAGTTTCTCTCGTCTTCCCATATCAATCGATAATCGTCCAGATGAATGAGTTTCATGTAGGTTACGCATATTGATCCAGGTAGATGTATGCATGCATCCGAATGTATATTCGACCAGTAAATTAACAGAAACCTTCGTATATCGATATACATACCTATATGCTCTGTCTGTTGCTTTTAATAGTTGATGAATTGATAAAATATACAGGAACATTTTCCTTTTTTTCTCTTTTTTTTTTCATTAATGCTGGAACTTATGTTTATAAAGTAGAACTATAGAAGAAGTGCTCAGCATAGAATACCATTAAAGGGAAGCGAAGAAACGAAAAAAAAAACAAAATGACGAAAGGAAGTATAGAACATATACAATGACGCACATACACAAAACAAATATGCTTGTTGTTATTTTTTTCATACTACTCACAAACAGAAGAAAATCAAAAGAAATAATATTAATCTCAAGTTTGACAAATACAAAGAGTTAGAGAACATATGACAATCAGCGACAAGTTCATTACTATAATTAAACAAATAGACAAGAAAATAATCGATTTAATAACGTCGTTGTGATAAAGGTTGTGTAACAACATAATGTTGTTCATAGGCACGTGTTTGACCCGTTGGATGAAGGACAAGTCCAGTCGGCGGAGCTTGTTGTGTTACATAGGCTGTTGTATGATGAAGAGATGATGGTGGTGGCAAAATTGGTCCATGTTGTTGCGATGTTGGAAGAGCGCTTACAGGTACACCAGGATGACTGTACAAATGAGTTTGACTCGTTGTACTACCACGAGATGATGGAGGCGGTGGTGGTGGCGGTTGATTTGATGGGAGCATAGGAATACGTTGATTGCTGGGCACATTGGCACGAGATCGATCATGAGATGATGATAATCCTTGTGGATGATGGGACGGAATTGATGGAGGTGGTACTTGTTGAGAAACATGTGGCCAACCATATGGATCTACTACAGGTACATGATAAGCAGCTATCAAAAAAAATAGCTAACAAAGGGGATCAATCGAACTGAAACTTGCCGTTTGAGCTTAAATCAGGCGTTACAAAAATATCTTGATGAGACTAGAAAATGTCTAAAAATGTTTGTCTTCATATGGGTCTTAGGAGCTGAATTAGAATCGTTTTATTGAATTTTCGATCCAGCTTTGGGTATATATCAAAAAATTAAAAAGCAGAATTTCAATGTAAAATGTTGTCAATAGAATATTCTGGAAGTTTCAGCAGAAAGGAATATAACTTTCAAGTAAAGTCGATTTTTTTTTGTATTAACACCTGCGGCAAACGATTATTTTATAGAAATTCGATATATTATTTTTGGCTGAAATTTTTAGGATATTCTACAAGATATTTGATCATCCAAATATTCTTGTAAATCCAATACGATCTCAAACGAATGATTCCCTCGTAAGCAAAAAAAATCTACTGACTTTTTACTGGCAAATCAGGAGGATGATGTTGTTGTCTTGATGGAGGTGCTGCTGACCACAATCCTTGTTGTTGTTGTTGTTGTTGTTGAGTTGATTGAGATGATTCAGAAATGTATTGAGTAGGTAAATATTTATGAGTGTCTAAAATAAAAATCATAATATTTTATCATTGAACTATAAAATTTAATTTCAAATTTTGTTAACAAAAAACAATGATTATTTACCATCGGTATAATGTGTAGTATCACGAGGTTTTGGCCGTTCCCAATGTGTTGTTTCGATTGATTCACGACGTAATGTATTATTTGTTGATGGTGATCTATCACGACGTGGTGCTTGTTGTATATATTCTCGATCATCAAATCGTTCACGTGAATGTGGACGTCGAAGAATTGTATTTGTATTTGTTGGTGATGAAGCAACATTTCGAGAAGAACGTTCATAAGCTGTACTAACAGATGATGTAGGTGGTAAAGCCATATCACGTCCACGTTGTGGTAATGTATTATAAGGATCAGATAGACGATGTTGATTAGATGATGAAGAAACATATCGTTGATTATTATTATTATTATTATTATTATTACTTGAACTAAGACCAAGGCCAGAAGTCGATGATGAAAGATCAGATTCACGATAAACAACACGATCACGACTAAAAATATCGATTAAAAAAAGTATTTTAATAATAAACTATATATAGATTTCTTACAACATTGGTTCACGTTGATTATTTGTATATTGTCGTTTTGGCTCTGGATGATAATCACGATTAGTATCATCAAGTGAACGATCACGTCCACGTCCAGTTGTTGATGTTCGATGATCATAGCCTTTATTTGAATTACTAGCATTATTTGTATGATGTGATGAACGTGGACGTTTATTATCATTATATGATGATATACGATGTAATTTATCATCACGTAATTTAACTTCAAATTGTTGTTGTTGTTGTCGATGTTTAACTTCATCAGCTAAACGTCTTTGTTGTTTTTCAAGTTCTCGTGCTTGATCTTGTTTTTCTTTTTCTAATGCAATTCGTGTACGTTCAATTTCTAAACGTTCACGTTCGAGAACTAAAATAAATAAATATTTAATAGAATTTTTATCTAAAAAAAAAACAAATTAAATACTTTCAAATTCACGTCTCATTCGTGCACGTTCTTCATCTAAACGTCGTTGTTGTTCTTTAATATTTTCTTCTTCTTGTTGTTGAACATATTGTTTTCGTACAAACATTTCTTTTTCATGCCGTAAACGTTCTTCATTTTGATATGTTGAACGACGATCAGTATCAAAAGTTTTTGATGGTATTGAATGATGAGTAGTATCCTTTGACTAAAAAAAACAAAGATGGTTTACTTTTCAAATTATAAAATTTCTAAATTTACAAATGTTTCTTTTGGTTTATCATATTTATTTGATATCATATGAGATGACATATGTTGTTTAGATTTATCAATTGATGATGAACGATGATGATCAGATTTTATTGTTGATGGAATATAATGTTTTTCATTTGAATGACTTCGATGTGTTACAGGTGATGATGATGATGATGATGTCTTCGATTTTGATATATATGTAGAATGTGCTAATGATTTGTCAGATCTAATTGAATGTTTATCATTTTTACGATCATTTGTAGTTGATTTATGAGAAGATTCTAAAGAAAGATATAATCAAAAGTTTATTCATTATTTATATATTCAGAGTTTTCGATAGTTTTTAGAAGTGGCATATCTAAAAAAAAATTGACAGAAAGTTTTTGAGATTCTCAAATTTTCCAGGAAGGCAGCATGAGCGATGTAAGATCAATTTTTTAAGGGAAGCAATAAGTTACTATTGCTTTGGTGGCGCGAGTCTAGAGTTTATCCCATAGAGAGACCTGTGTAAATATTTTTCATTATAATACTATATGTTCATCGTGGAGATGCGAAATCTGCCGCTAGAATGAAAAATTTTTCTATGATCAAAATAAACGAATTTATATTCTTATTGGTACAAGAGAAATTTTTCTTTACTCGAATGTCTAATAATTATAAACTATTGATCATACCTAATTTTTCACTTGATTTTGGAAGATCTGAACGAGATATATGATATTTTGATGATTGACTATTACTACTACTCGATGAAGTTCTTCGTTTTTCTGTATAAGATTCATTTGATTTTTTAATAAATGAATCCATTTCATGTGACTTTATTGTTTTATCATCATTATTTGATTTGTTTACATCGGATGTTGATAATTTTTTTTTATTTTCAATTGATGTTGATGCTGATCGTTTTTTTGATACTACATTTGTTTCTGTTGTTGATGATTTATCTTGATTATTATCCATGATTGAATCACGATTTTTATATGAATTATTTGTAGATGTTTTATGATTTGATTGATCCGATCGTTTTTTATGTGTATTTGATAATGTTTCACGTGATGATATTTGACGATTAGATGATGTTGATCTACTATTTGATTTAGATTTTGAAGATGATGAATCCGATATTTGGTCATGCATTTCCTACAAATTCGGAAATGGATATTGCAAAAAAAAAACAAAAAGAATACACTAAAATATTCTAATTTACATATG